TTCTGTCTGCTGCCTGTCCTGCTCTGTCCCCTGACCTTCTCTGGGGTTGTCATGCAGCCATTTATTCCCTCATCCAATAGAAAAACAGAGAAACTCACTCCTAATTAGATGGGTTTCTGTCTCTCCAGGTCTTCACTTCTTGCATGTTCTTGACTTGTTAGAGGAAACAGTGTATTGACATTGGTATTGATTTGCATGATTCAGATATAATTAGGAGAAAGATTTGCCAGAGTGGTAGCAGTGGGGCTGACACTGCTCTATCCTGCTGACCTTGGGGAAGCTCGGAACCAGGCCTTTTACCCTCACCAAGTTCATGGCTCCTGTTCTCTGCAGTGTCCCACAGGCACTTGTCCTCAGAAATGTACTTCTCCATGAGAGAAAGGAAATCTGTCTTGCCCCCAAGTATCTCCTTGCCTGGCCTATCATCTGGAATTCTGATGGTAAAGGCTACACTGTGGGGGTCTCTTGGGGATGTAGGAAGCCATTATGCTGACCAGGAGGTCAGCAGATGTGGTGGCCAGCTTGCTTGTGATACCCACCATCTGGAGCAAATAGGAAGATATTAGGGTGGTGTCATTTTGACAGTAGGAGGAAAGGAAGCAAAACCGAGCAGTGCTGGAAGCCAGAGACTAGAAATTAGTGTGACCCAGTGCATTATATTGCTCCTGTGATAAAAAGTGGTGGAGCATCCTTGGAAAGATTAGGGACATAACAAGGCAGAGAAATAGATGAAAAATGCACACCCATGCCTGCTCTGTTTTGTTACCATTTCTTCGCACCTTCAATTACTCATCTATTCATTCAACAAATACTTATTGAGGGGCTACTGTGTGCCAGGCAAACAGTAAATAATGAGGTGTTGACTCTGGGAAGACAGATGAGATCTCTTATGTCTGTAATTGGTGGATTTGGTTCCCATCCACCCAGTCCAGCCTAGGAGGGTGGATTTTGGTCCAGGATTTGGGGTGTGTGGAGCAGGTTCTGGAAAGGACTGACATCCAAAATGCCATATGATGCTTCCTTTGATTTGTGCCTCTATTTCACCTATGAGCTGGTCTGTTCCGGGAAGGCAAGTGAGAGCACAAGGGCCAGGTGGGGGTGCTCCCAATCAGGTGAACCTGGGCAGGGACAGCACAGGTGTCGGGGAATGGAGCGGGCTCCCCAGTCAGGTGAGTGTCTTGGGAAGCAGGCAGATGGGCAGGGAGTTTCTCTCCATATCCAGCCCCTGGCCCCTCTCCTGTCCAGTGTGACCCCTCCTACTCCCACACAGCCCCTGCTGAGTGGCTGTCATTGGAAGCCACATCCAATTTTCCCAAGGAGCAATCTCCAGGCCACTGATTTACTTGTTAGCTGTCACCACGGGCACTGAATAATAAGGCCTCTTTCCGTGGAAAGGATATTAGAGGCTGAGATGGGAAGGGCTAGGGCAGTGTGATATCTATTTCCCAGGCAATCGCTGCGATGAATCAAGGGCTGTCTATAACTTGCTCTCACACAGCACCTCAGACCCCTTCGAAGGCCCCCAGCCCCTGATTCAGGCTGCCTCTTGAGCATACGTGTGGGCTGAGAGAGGGAGGCTACCCTCTCCATGTGGAGAAGACACTGATTCATTCATTCGCTCATTTGGCAAACATTTATTCAACATCTGCTGTCTCTGTGTGTTGGGCTGGGGGCTGAGCATATGGGGTGAACCAGCCCAGCCTGGCCCCTGTCCTGGGAGCAGCATTACATGTTCCATCCCTCTGCTGCCCCCCAGTAGGCAAGATTCTACTGGTTGGGGGCAGGAATTGATTCCGACATTCTCTGTCTTGCCCTCTCCCCACACCATCTCTGCCCGGATGGCTGAACGAGAAATCCCAGTGGTATTTCCCAACTCTGTGCTAGGACTTCTGTGTACCCCTCAAGTGGAAGAAGGAAACCCTTCATCAGCACCAGCCTTTGTCAGGTTGCCTTCCTGATGGTGAGGGTTACTTACCTTACTTCACTTAGTCTTCACTTTGCAGATGAGGACCTTGCCCAAGAAGTAGTGTGCCAGGGCCGACTTGGGTCAGTCTGCTCCCTTCCCAACTTGTCCTTTGGTAACAGCATGCGGGTAGCTTGATATTGGCCATGGTGAACGTATTTATTACCATGGAAATGACAGAGCAGGACTTTCCCCCTTTGGAGAGCTGGTTGTCAAGCAGTTACCAGCACACCACTGCACCGAAGCGCTTTGACCAATACTGCCCTCTGGAGTAGCAGCAGAGGATGGGGTCAGATGGCAGCGACCAAGGACGTCCCTCCTGCTGCTGAGAGGCTGCTTCATCCCGGGAGAGCCGGGAGAGCCGAGGAAGAGCAGAAGGAGTTCCCACTGAGGAGCCAGGGGTTTCCAGCCTCCGTGTGGCTGCTTTTCAACATCACAGGTCATTTTGGGAATCACATGTGGTCCCCACTCCCCTTCCCTCCCCTCGCCTCCCACACCCAGGCTAAGGATGGAGTTAGGACCTTGCAGCTAATTGAGGTCCCACTCAAGGTTAACTGGTGCTTTTATTGGTGTGAATGATAGCTTTCTGCTGGGCCCTGCGGACCAGGCAGGAATCTGACTGGAGGGAGTGCATTGAGGGCCCTGCTGAGAGAGAAACACAGACCCAAATACCCCTTCCATCCTTGTGATCTCAGCTTAAATGTCGACTCCTCCAGGAGACCCTGACTACCTCCTATCTACAATATGATCCTCTGCCCCCACAGTTCTTCTCTTTTAGTTTATTTTCTGTTTACGTATTTGTTTCTTTGACTAGAATGCCAGCTCTGTGAAGATTGGAAACTGAGGCAGGAGGGGCTTAGCGATTCTGGATATTTCTTATTCGTCATCTCGCGATTGTGGCCTTCTAAGTCCTGGTCTGGGAAGACATTTCTTCCAGCTGTTTTCTTTTTGTGACTCAGCACGGGTCAGCGTGAGGGTTGTGTAAGCATTAGGTCCCTGGGTTGTTCAGGGTCAGAGCCCTGATCTTGCCTGTTGGCGCTTACTAGCCGTGAGGCCATGGGGCAGGGAACAGAAAGGACAGCCTGGAACAGAAGCTGTAGGAGCAAAGGGTGCCCACTCCCTCCTGGCCTATGCCTGTACTTTGTGGCCCCATTCTCTGGCACAATTTCCCAAGGCACTCTAAGGCCTCCCCTGCCCTTTTCTCTTTCTTTTTACTTTTGATATTAGAAAAGCAATGGTTCCCATTGCAGAAAAATTTGGAAAATGCAGAACCACATTAAGACAACTATAAAGTCATCTTTTAAATAATATGTCACCTGTACTCCGTCCTTTCCCAGAATTCACCCCTCCCACCTAAGCCCAAGACCCCACCTCCTCCAGCAGTTGTAAGTAACATTAAACTGCCTCCTGGACCAAGTTATTACTTCCAAGAATAATAGTCTCTGTTACTACAAGAAACTAATTAACAGCATGCAATGAGGGGGAAAAATTCAATTAATTAGTGGCTTAATAAGCACTAGCAACGACTCTGGGCTTGGCTTGGGAGTTGGGATGGGTGGAGACCCCCAGAGGGTGAGGGATGGGGGCTTGAGAGGTGGGGGTGAGCACCTGGCTCAGGAGGTGGGGGGGTCCTGAGGGAGCCTGAGGAGCCGCAAGAGCACCGCCCACGAGGAAAGGACCCCGTTTCCTCCGGGGCCCAGGCACTTGGGAGCAGAGTAGCAGGGTGGGACGTTCTCAGTCTTGTCTCAGTGTGGTGGCGTGGCTGCTGCAGGTAAAGTGGGAAAGATTGTCTTTTCTCTGGGCTGTGGGCTGGGCACATAGGGACCCCTCTTCTCCCTCACAGCCCCTCCTCCTGTAGCCCCCATCCCACCCCTTTGAGTCCTGCCATCTCTCAGCAGAACCTTGCAGTCACCCCTGCCAGTGCCCCTTCCTCAAGCCCCGCCTTCAGTCTGTTCTGGGGTCTTGTGTCTGCTGCCTTCCCCCACACTCTCTCCCTCCCCAGGCCCCACCCTGCTCTTCCAGAACTTCGTGCAGTGACCTTTCCAGTGCCTCTCCTCCTCCTCCAGCCTGCTCACCGCCCAGCAGCTGCTGAGATCTCATCTGACACTGTCCCGCTCACCCCTGATGAATCGGATGGGCTCCGGGCTCTGCCGGGAGCCCCAGGACTGCCTGGTCTGGCTCTGGACCCCTGGCTTGCCTGGTGCCCCCATGATCCCGGCAGGCTCTCTGTGCCCCAGGCACCACACCTGCTTTGAGCTACTTGGACAGGGCAAATGCCATAAGCTCTGGCATTCAGGGCTCAGGGTCCTTCTGTCGCACAGCTCCCTTCCCCCAGCATTGTGTCCTCATGCTCAGGTGTGTTTGTAAAATTTGCTAATGTACAGACGTTAAGTGCAATCCATCAAGACCACTCTCTCTTCCAGGGGGTGCTGGAGTAGCCCGGGCAGTCTTAGAGTCCACCGAAGGCAAAACTGAGTGGGGGGTTGGTTTAATGGGGGTTCAATCAGACACATGTATGTGGTCCCAGTCTCTGAGTCTAGCTAAGGAATACTCCGACCCCGAGGTTGTGACATGAAGACCAGGGCCAGGGCTCAATGTGCCAGGTGAAAGGTGCCCGGCCCAGAATTTTGCCATGCGTGGAGTGGGAAGCCAGTCATTGGATGTGGACGTTTTTAAGTGGAGGATTTGGTTCTTATCAAGGCCTCATCAAAACAGCTTCCCTCCAGTCAGGAATTTACCTGAGGATGCACCATATCCAAGCATAAATGCAGGGTGTGCAGATCTCTTTTTCAGTGAGAATCACGTGACGTGGACCAGCTTAGAATGCCTGTGACTGTAGGCATGCTGGTTGCCCGTCACTGCTGTAACATGTACCACAAATGTAGTGACTTAGAAAATGCTGCTTTATTCTCTTATAGTTCTGGAGGTCAGAAGCCCAGTATGGGTCTCAAATCATTGGCTAAAACCAAGGTATCAGCAGGACTGCTTCCTTTCTGGAAGCTTTAAGGAAAAACATCTCTTTCCTTGCCTTTTCCAGTTTCCCGAGGCTGCTTACATTCCTTGGCTGGTGGCCCCTGCCCTGGACTATACTGGGCTGCGTCTGAACGCCTCCATCTCCCTCGTCTCCCTCTCCCTCTTCTAAAGTCCCTTGTGGTTACATTGGGCCCACTTGGATGATGCAGGATAATCTCCCTACTTTAAGGTCAGTTGATCAGCAGTTTAATTCCATCTGCTGCCTTAGTTCCCTTTGCCATGTAACCTAACAGTTCACAGGTTATGGAGGCCATAGACATCTTCGGCGGTGGGGTCAGGGGCACATTATTATACCAACTGCAGCCTGTAGCAGCTCTACAGACAGTGAGTGTGTCTGTGTGTGAAGCCACATGTTTTATGTATCCATATAACAACATATATTTATTATGTCTCAGGGTGGGAGCGATTTATTATATATGTATGTAGATTGATGTGTGTGTGTGTATTCTACTCAATCACCCTGGAGGAATTATCTATCTTTTCTCTGGAAAATGGCATTATAAAATCTTGACATATGACGAAAGAATCCAAGAGTATGCAGCCAAAAAGGTGAGAAGAAACATATTATAGAGTTGTGTTAGACAGTTAATAAAAATATTTCCCCCCTGGAGTTTGTGATGTTTGTGGTATTTGTTAGCTTTAAAAGATGTATAACTTGTAACACTTTCCCATTCTAAATAAACATTGACTTTATTTTTTTAATCCTAACCTTTCTTAGGACTTTATTTCATTCTAAATAAACATTAATTTTCATGACTAATACTGAATTCTTTTTTTAAAAGCCCCTGCCTCCCACCCAAGTTGTATAAACTTCAGGTCCCACAAAACCAGGAGTCCCTGCTGCTCCCTCCCCAGGGCCTTTGCACATGCTCTTTCCAATGTTGAGAGCTCTTTATGCTTCCCCACCCTTCTCTCTGTTCATCCTTTAGACCTCAGCTCCAGCTTTAGTTCTTCACAAAAATCTTCTCTCACCGCATGTTCTCCTCCCAACTTGGTTGGGTCTCCTGGGCTCCCCCTTTGCAGTCCATCTGGAATTACAATCAGCTATTCATGAAACTGTCTGCTTGTCTCTCTCCCACTTTGGAATGTCAAGTCTGTGATCCTGTGTGTGTGTGTGTGTGTGTGTGTGTGTTGCTCATTGCCTCTCTCCCAGAGGTTAACATGATCTGCACTCAGTTGGAACTCTGTAACTATGTGCAGAATTCAAGGATGAATGGAGGGGCCAATGGATGGTGCTCTCAGGTTGGGAGGGAAGGCGAATTCCCTCAGTGCAGATGCCTGTCCAAAGCCGTGCTGCTCGCATGTGCTGGAGCCGAGACTCAAACCCAGAACTTTGCTGTGTTGAAGTATGTCCTTCCACCACACCACACATTTGAGGCCAAAAGTCATTTTATGGGTGCTCGTGTGGTGGGTGGCAGAGGCATGTGCCAGCAGATTCTAAGGCAGGGAGCTGGTGAAGAGTGAGGCTAGATTCAATCGTGGGGGTGAAGGGGAGCCACTGCTGGCTCTGGAGCACTGTTGACTGTCATGGTCTGCCCTTGCTGAGAGTATTGTCTGGGGAAGGGCCCCCTGATCTGGCCCTGTCCGCATGGGCTGGCAGACTGGCCAGAATCTGTCCTGCCTGCAGCCTGCCTGGTCACACTGGCCTATCTCCCCACAGCCCCTCCCTTGTGCCTATCAAAGCCAGCGCTGTGGGCCCACTGTTGCCAGAGGGAGGCTGATAAGGCATTTATCGAATTCATGATTTTAATTTATGACAATTCTAATCCCATTATAGGTTCTGTTTTGTCCACAGCCTCTTCAGGGATGGAGTTTAATTACGGCCAAGCAAGATTTCCCTTGCTCAAGGAACCTTTCCTGCCAGTCCTGGAGGTCCACCCCAGTTGCTTGAGGGAGTTTAGTGGTCCAGGGGTGGGAGGCATGGTGGAGGGGAAGGGGAGGCTCCCCGGTTTGGGAGTGGCGGGCCACCGCAGCCCTTCCCACAGTTGGCAGCTGCACTGTAGGATGTACGGCGATGCCTAGGGAGTGACAGTGAGGACTGCAGCAGGTGGCAGAGCTGGGGCAGCAGTGTGCAATCTGCACAGCTGTGTGGGCAACCCTGGGGCTATCCAGAGATAGGCAGGAGCCTGGGGACCGGGAGGAAGTGGGAGCTCCGGGATCTGCTAGCGCCTGGATATCAGAGGCTCAGGGAAAATGGCTATCTTGGGGTGGGTCCAAGACTCCACTGCCCACCCCAGAAAAGGGGTATCTCCCAAGTGGCCCTGGCTCCCAGAGGGAGGTCCAAGCCAGGGGAACGGTCACCGTGATGTTGTGGAGTCACCTCTTGGCTTCTGTGGAGGGCAATGCAGAGTGGAGAGGGAAGCATGGTGAAACAGGGGTCAGGGTTCAGAGGCTGCTCCCCAGCTCTGCTGACCTCAGCTGTGACCTTTGGTCACTTTTCATCTCTTTGTGATGTTCCTTCTTCAGCTAGGAAGTTAGAGGCGGAATCAGGCCCTGTGTCAGCCTGGAAAGAGGGCATAGTGGGCTGAGTGTGAGATGAGATGGAAGGGCTCGGATATCGGGAGGAGGGTCACCAGGCTTGGGGGTCCTGAGGCTTGCGCCCAGCTGAGGGCAAGGGGGGCCCAGACCTGGTCCCAGAGCTTGGGGACTAACAGAAGAGTCAGGAATCATGAGAGGGCAAGCAGCCTTGGCCTGCGATCAGTGCGCTCTGGGAGGGGGAGCAGCCTCAGGTGCTGCAAAGAGAGGAGCATCCTGCCTGCTCCTTCTTCTGTAACATGAGCATGAGAATGATACCAGCTGGACTCCCCCCACAGGGAAGAACAGGAGTGGGGACCTCCACGGGACAGGGCTTGGTGATCAGGCAGGGCGGTTGCAGCGATTCGTGGCTCTCTGAGCCTCAGTCTCTTGTCTTGGGTTAGGACCAGATGACTTCCAAGAATCCTTTAAATTCAGACATTTGCAGAGTTGATGATGGAACAAGGAAGTCTGCTTGGAGGAGTTGGCCTGCAGGAAGGAGAAGGGTGGAGATTTTTGCAGACCTGTGCCCTGGATACTGATTCCTTAAGAACCAGATGCAGGTGGAGGAAGACCGGGGGGCAGGAGGCAGTGTGGTGTAAGGGATTGAAAACAGACGCCTGCATGGGTGGAGCAAGTGACTTCAGGGAGTCGGGCAGATAGGGTATAATGCAACTGGGGGTGGTGGGGACTGTGGTAAATCGGAGTGTTTATGTCCCTCCCAAAGAGGCAGCCGTTTCTCTGCTCCAGTGATCATTGCCATGTGAGGATGCTGATCCTGGGTTGTCAGATGGTCTCAGTCTTTCCAAGCATCCCCATCTGTAAAATGGGCACAATAATAATATCTATCTCATGCAGATGGTGTGAGCGCTATGAGCTAATAAATGCAAAGTATTAGAAGAGTGCTTGGCATATAGCAAGTGGCAATTACTTGCATTGCCAATTATTATTAGATCGTTGTGTTATTCTCTATCTGCACAAGACACCAGATGTCTTCCTTTCCTCGACCTCCAACACACTCCAGGTGGGAAGGTAGGGGAGTCTAGTCATTGTGACCCAGTCGCTTGGGGTCTTCGGCACAAGGGGCTTGCCTGGCTGTCCGTGGCTTTGGTCTGAATGTAGTTGGGAAATGTTTGTGGGCTGGGGAAAAAGCAGATGCTGGAAATACTACTGGGAACAGGACCCTTTGAGTTCCCTGGCATCACTTCACAGGATTTTTATTTTATTTTGGGAGCTTATGCTGAGCCTGAGACGTACACTTTCACAGGAAGCATTTGTCAGGCTTCGCTGGGCTGAGAGGGCTGTGGCTGAAAAGTGTGGTGAGAGGGGAAATCACGTGGGGAGGCGCGGAAACAATGCCAGCTGCAGAGGGGGCCTAATTGTGAACCTGAAAGAGATTCCCAATTGCGTCCGCTGACAAGGAGGGAGAAATTAAGAGCAGGACTGACAGGGTAATTGTCTTCCCAGTTCTCCACACTGCACGCATTCTTGATTCGGCTGGCAGGGAGGGAGGGTGTGAAGATGTGGTGTGCACGGGTGCCATGCTGCCATGTGTCTACCAGCTGCACCACCTCCTGCAAGGCGCAGTCCTTGGTTAACCCCAGCTGGCCTGGATTACACTTCCTCCCATTTCTTGAACTCCAGCCCTGGATCTTAGGGGAATCCTTTGTGTGTTCTTGGGTAAGTCATCTACCTTGCCATGCCTCAGTTTACCTGCCTAGAAAGAGGGGTCATTCTGGACTTCCTCACTTCAAAAAGGTATCTGAGGAAGCACTGGGATGATGGTGACCTCAAAGGACTGCCTTTGGGTTCGGATTTGCCTTCCCTTGTCTGCCGAGCTGCTGGAGTTTTAAGGCCTTTTCCAGCATTATCACATTTGATTCCTGCTGAGCACCGCGCGGCCCAGTGAGTGGATAAATCCCCAGGTATAAGCAGGGAAATTGAGACTCAGAGGGCATTCTAATGTACAGTTTTATTATTTAGGTGTGACGAGCCCAGTAGGCCATGAGGGCCCCGGACCCAGAGGCTGCCTCCAGCGGCTCAGCTGAACTCGGAGTGTTTGGCTCAGCCACCACCTTTCCTGATGCTTGCACCCAGCTGGGAGGCAGGCGCTGGACTTTGAGTCCAAGGCCTGGGTTCCAGTCCCAGCCTCAGCTTGGGCCAGAACTTCCTTGACAAGTCCCAGTCTCGGTTTCTAAACCTGTGAAGGGTAATGGTGAGGTCTACTTTACCAGGATCCGGAAGCTTTAAAAAAGAGGGCAGAAGGAGAAAGAACCCAGCAGATGCAGCTGTGCAAAAGGAAGGAGCTGCTGGCTGTGGAAGCTCAGCCTGGCATGCAATTAAAGGGACTTGACTTTGCTTCATTGCTCTGCCAGTCACTGGCTGGGCAACTCCAGCGCAAGTTGCTTAACCTCTCTGAGCCTCATGTTCTCACCTGTACAAAAATGTGGGTTATTTTGTGAGGCTTGAAGGTTATTGTGAGGCTAAATGTGGAACTGCATATGCCAAGTGTCCGGCACATGGGATGAGGTGGCTAGATGGGAGTGAGCCACAGGGCTGGGTCCTCAGCATTGGAGGAAGGACACAGTTCTCTCCTCTTCCTCCCCCGATCTCAGATCCTCCCTCCCGCAAGCCTCTAATCTCGCCTCTGCTCTCTCCCTTCCAGCTCCCCTATAGTTTAAGATGACACTTTATCGCTTGTGTCTTGAAAACATGGATATGACACACTGCATATTTCTCCCCTGCCAGCCTCAGCCTCGGACGTGACTGCAAGCGCTGGATTCTCTTGCTACAGTAGATGCACAGACACCAGGTCTTGCTCCTCACACAGCTGCGTAGACCTGCCGCTACAAGGGAGCGATTCTTCTCCTTTCTGTTGGTACTTTGTGCCTCCCAATTCCTGTGCTAGATATAGTCTCCCCTCTGCCTGTGTTGTTCAAGATTCTAATTAACTGAAAAAGGCTTTCACTCCTTACTATCCTCCCATTATGAATAATGATACTGGCTTATAAATGAGAATTGCTTTTCTATTTTAATTCTGTGTGTGTGTGTGTGTGTGTGTGTGTGTTTTGTTAAAA